ATATATATATATACATACATACACACACACACACACACACACACACACACACACAGGGCTTGAAAAATCCACTCGTCTGTGACGAGAGAACGGTGGAGCCCGACGAGCAGCTTCCCGGCCGGCCGTGTAATTACAACTCTCCAGAGACGCTCGATCGCATGTATTAGCAGCTGTCACTGCCATTGCCGGTCCCGAGATCCGCTGTGCCTGATGCGGCCGGGACCGGCACGGCTCTGTGACAGGAGATCAAAGGGAGTTAAGTATACAAACTCCCTTTGATCTCCTCTCAGTCCCCGAATGCAGGAAGTGATGTATATTACATCACTTCCTGCATTCAGTGTCACTCTCCAGCTACAGAAACTGATGAAGCAGATACGCCTCGGGTGCGCCTACGTGCGAAAAATGACGATTGCACCTATTGTGCCGCACATGTTAAATATCGCCGCAAACGTCGGAGTGAGAGCAATAATTTTAGAGCCATTAATCACTGAGAACACTAAACTGATGAGCAGTAAAAGCTCATCAAGTAAAAGTAATCGTCGCCTATGGGCGTTTTTTGCAATTTTAAGGCTTGACATGTTTGGTGTCTATTTACCCGACGTGACCCCGAATTTTATGTTTTACTAAAAATATGGGTAAGAGTATATGTTTTATAACATAACGTAAGGAAACTTTTTTTTTTTTCTATTACATTTATGGTACTTTTTTACCGAGCCTGCCAGGAAGCTGATAGCGCGCAACACCAATCACAGGTAGTGAGACATTTTCCAGGTCCGCAGCTGCAGAGATCGGGAAATGTCTCAGTGCCTGTGATTGGCGCTGCGCGCTGTCAGCTTCCTGGCGGGCTCGGCACATGTAGCTGCGAACACGCCCGAGCCCATGCTTAGTTATATGCAGCCCAGTGATGATGACACCTTTTGTGAACATTGTTGGGCTACACAAAGTGGATTCATATGTTCTGTGGCCATTAAGTAATATATTTAAAGAAAAGTTTTTGTGCCCATAGTTTACCTTTAAACTATAGCGCCTGCAAATAACATGCATATCTGTTGTAACATGGTTACAATACACTGCTAAACACTCTCTAAAGTTCCACCTGCTGGCAAAAACCTAATAGCAATATAATCTGGCAAAAATAAAAAAAATATGTACAAAGCCATTTTCATTCCTTTAAATATCAAAATGAAAATGTTTTATTTTGGCCATTACTATTATGGATATGAAAAGAAAATGTTGCTGCTTTGCTACTCATTCAATGTTTCCTCTTCAGTCTGAAACTAAAATAAGATGTCATTAAATAATAAAGTACCTAGTCAGCTATCGGTTGTTTATCACTGATCCTTCCCCGGCCTACACAATCTCTGGTGCATCTGCTATACTTGTGTGTCATCGCTAATGGACACACATTAACAAGCATTAAACAGAAGAAAGTTCCATCTGCAAGCAATTCCTGACATTACTGACTGCATTTAGGCTTAAGATATTTTATAATGATGATTGTTACTGTGCTGTACCCAGTGAAACAAACAAGTTGTCAGCATATAAAAAATGCCAAAGTCTCAGCATGACACAGAAGTGTTATGCTTTTACAAAGGAGGTGCTTTCTTCAAGAGGTGGGTTTCAAATATTAAAGGAGAACTATGAGGTGAAGTGATTTCCACTCATCCTCACAGTTAGAGCCGATGTGTGACATTGAAACTGTCACACATCAGCTCTACTGTTCGGGAAGTTAGCGAACACATAGCGTCGTTCGCTCACTTCCCGATCATCTTCCTGCAGAGAGCAGTGACTGTTAGTCTTCGCTCCCTGCAAGGATTCCCCACCTCCCCTCTCCGATCCTCCAGCGCTGACTGGAGGAACGGACAGTGGAGGGGGCGGGTACAGCTGGCTCTGCCTCAAGATAGGCAGAGCCCCGTTGCCAATCAGCCAGCTGGGTGGATCTCGACAGCATTGTCGGGATCATTCCCGGCTGCGGTGCTCTCAGTATATAGTTTGCAAATTTTGGGTCACGGGAGGAGGTTAGTATATGTCCTCCCGTGACCCTAAAGAGAACTATGGGATAAAAGGTTACCCCATAGTTCTCTTTTAAAGTTAAAAGCACAAACAGTCATATTAAGGGGAGCAAAGTCATGCTACTCCGCCACTCGATTTCTCCCTCTGAGCCGGGTGTCCAAACCCTGTGTAGGCTCTGGATTGTTTTGCAGCTTACACAAAGTTGATGACTTCCTTCCCTTTCTCATGTGGCAGTGTTCAGAACTGGCAGATGGCTGCTCAAGGCTCAAGTAGTGCACCCTGGGATGAAGAGGCAGAGGTCACACTCCTTCCCACACCTAGAAGCACTGTTGTTCCCCCTCCATTGAAGCAATGGAGCATCAGGAGAGTGGGGATTGGGGGTTTCTTTCAAAGAACAAAACAAAAAAACTGACACCTTGTCCTTGTTTGCACAAATGGTAAAGTAACAGAGTCTTATAAGTACCCACAGCAACCAAAACACCATCAGAATTGACTTCAGAAACATTGTGGACTCAAGTGCTGTCTGATTTTGGGACTGTGCATCCATATACATGCGTGTGCATATGCAAGTCTGGCATATACCCACATATAGCCATTAACATCTATGGCAGGCTGCATGCAGCACCTATGACTCCCTAGCAGGGGAAATACACCAGGATTTATGTTGTATGGCCACAGGTTGACTTGTGAATGAGCCCTAGTTGTGACTGTTTGCTAATATTACTGCACGCTCATCATTGCACTGCCAGCTAAATAAGGTCAACACAGCTCACAGCACCCTATGAAGAAAACTTCAGATAGCACAGTGGTCAGTAGGATGCACCCCATTGTTCTATTCACTCAGAATGCTGGCTTACTTAGCTGGGTACATTTTGCTTAGGATTTACTAATATGTTTTGTACCAAGAGTGGGTGCACAACTCCCTTATACACAGACATACACAAACTCAAGTATGACAATATCATGTACCTTGACAAGACAGCCAGTAAATCGCTGTTTTTTAGGCAATCTGATAAATTATCCACCGCTGCTTCCAGAGTGAGAAGAACTTCCATGACATAGCCCTAGAAACAACATTAAAGTAAAACCGATGTTAAAAGCAAATCACTAACCCCAATAATATTTAACTGGTCTCAAAGAGTGTTGATTACATTGGACATTCATTTTTTTTCAAATCTGAAGATATTTGGAAATGTGGAAGAATCGTTTATAGTTATTAGAATTAAAATGTCCTCATCCCAGAATGAATGGTAACGCCCATATGAACCCTCTTCATGTATTACTGTTATGCAGTCCGGCACCATATACAGTAATAAATATGGTTCCTTTTAACTATTTTAGCAGTTAAATGCAGCAAGGGTTGCCCCCTGTTCATTGGAATGTCGTACCGCAGCTCTCACACTTCCCTCTCTCCAACGACCTGGCCTGTCCCCATGAACATTGAACTAATTAACATCGTACTTGCACTTTAAGCAGCGCTGTTGATTAGGTACTGTTTAGGGGGATATGTTGGATAGCTGGACTTCTTCTTCGGTGTAAGATTATCCTAAGTGCTGCCAGTACAGGGTTTTCTGTTCCACCACCAGCAGGGAAAATAATTACGTCTACCTACCTGCAATATCAAATTCAGCCACTAGATGGAACCAAACAAAATACATCTCTGTTTACAGCAGCTCCAGACTGGTTTTCCTCTAATAAAACTCCCATCATCCCTCAGCCTGGGGAGAGGAAACAGGTGCATCCTGGGAGTTCAGACTCCATTTTAGGACTGACGAGGAAGAGGAAGCCATTACCACCTGCAGCAAATGTCTGGAGGAAAGGGCCTACATTCCAGCAGCATCGGTAGTAGGAATAGACTTGTTTCTCTATGTTCTAATACGCTTACACTATAGTTACATGTTTTACATATTGATTGTATGTTTCTATGTTCTTTTTTGCCAGTTTCTTCCCACCCTGTTTTGTTAATAAAGCATCAAGGTTTCACCCAGTCTGGCTTATTGCAGAATAGGAGGGTTCAGCTGCATGTCGAGCTATATACAGGCCGCAGGGCAACTTTTACAGGGAATGAAACATAACCTTGCCGCTACATGGTAATAAATTAAGAGGGTTCAACTGGACTTTAAACCTGAATGGTCTTTATTTGGTTTTTTATGCGATACACAATTTTTATAAATACACCCAGTACAAGTCACCAACAAATGCTTTATGGTACTTGTGATTGACCAAGTAATGGGTAAAGTCACGCGTCTACATCATGATAGCCTAAGGGGTTGCTATGTGTAACGCCACTCGTTAGATTCACCTTCTCTATATGCCCTGGTGACCACTGTCACCGAGACAGAAATCCCAAATTTTACAGCTGTCTCCAGAACTAGAGGCGAGGATAAATCATCCAATGGGGACACTTGTCTGGTAGGGAATTGCCCTTTTGCGAAGACTTCCACATTTATTGTTACAGTCTCAGGGCAGCCATCAGAAATTTTGGGGCCCCTTACATGGCTTTAGACTGCCCCCTTGCTCCGCCGCCCCCCCTTCCCCCTCACTGCCACCACACTGAGCCAGTCACACTGTTATTATTCTACATTTATGTGGATAACCTCCTCATGTATAACTTTCCCCTCCCTTTTAGATTGTAAGCCCTCACAACAGCAATCAATGCAGAATACCACCAACTATAGAGCACTACAAATCCCAGCAATAATACATTATACAGCACAATGCAGAATACCACCAGCTATAGAGGAATACAACACATACTAGCAATACATTATACATACAGTGTATAATGTATTGCTGGGATTTGTAGTCTTCTATAGCTGATGGTACATTACACAGCGCAATATACCATTAGTGATGCTTACTCTCTATGGTGGGCTCTGCAGGAGTCTCAGGTGGGCTGGTCAGGGCTTCATCCCCCTCTCTCCCAGATCCTCTTACCTGCTCCTGGTGCCTGTACACTTGGCCTCCTCTGCTGCCGGACTGGATGTAATGTCACTTCCGTCCGGTCCCACATCAGACGAGCAGCGGTGCTGATGGGTCCCCAGCCTGTCTCGAAGCTACTGGATCGCCAATGCTGGGGCCCTGCACTGCTAGCGCCAGGCCTCCTCCGGCGCTGTGGGGGCCTGGCCGCCTCCTCACCTTTCACTATCGGCCGATATTCATGTAAGGGTCCCGGGCGTGCCCCCCAGGCTGCCCGGGCCCCTTACATGAGTATCGGCCATACCCCCCTGATGGCAGCCCTGTGTAGCCTTGCATTACTTTTGGCAAACACGTCAGTGCAAAAAGCAAGATACATGTTTACGATACCTGAATTTCATCCCCATATTCTCCGATGACCTCCACCAACCTAGAGAGAAGGTCGGATAAGGCGTGAGCAGAAAGAGGCTGTTTCAGAGCTCGCAAGATCTGGAATGAGCGACCTGCGTAATGGCGGGAGGAGCTGGAAAGCGCAGTCTGCAGAGCCACTTCACTTAGGTGCTGCTCCAAATGAAAGCCTGTGGAAGACACCAAAATCATGTTTTTGCCATATTCTTTATTTAGCCTTTTGCAGTTATTTTCTTTACTTTGCTCAGGAGTAAAAAATCTAATTGAAAAATGTAAAACATTACTTTTTAGACAAAGGTCAAATATTGCATATTATTATTTTATACTTCACCCTTGCAGCCTGCAGGGGGTGAGTGGAAACCTAATACTTAAGGTTTTTAGAAGGTTAATTTACTACTATGCTGAAAATAGCCTGAATATGCTCTGTTGTAAATGGACCTGAACAGCAAGATATCCAAATACAAACATAGACCTAAATCAGTCAGAGAAGAAACATGCCCCTCCCATCTCTAACAGAAGAGAATGTTGTGCCTGGATCTTTAATCTGCAGGAGCAGTTGACAATTGCAGAGAAAAGAAAAAGCATTGTTTCCTATATCAATCATAATGGCATTTATGTTATTTTAATTGAATGCAGCAGAATTATAGGTGTAATCTGGCTGGTTGCTCTGCAAAACATCTTCATTTTACGTTCTACGTAAGCATCCCAATAAATCGCCAACCCCACGTTACCTGACTTTGAGTCTTTAAACACAGACACCACATGGCGCAGGAAATTGGTGAGCTGCTCTGCACTTCGAGAATTTTGATTCTTGGGTGTTATATCTTCATGACACCAGAGAGGACCAAAGGCTCTGCAATCAAAAACAAACATTTAACTCTTATGTAAAGGGTAACAGTTACATACAATCTAGACGTATAGCAGGTATTCATTGCAAGATGAGCAAAACCAGCTGGTGCATCTGTAAAAATAAATCAAAGCAACTGGACTTCTAATTTTCTTGAAGATGTTCCGCTGATCATCCAACTAGTTTTCTCAATACAGAATGACTTGCATAAAAAAATTATCTGGGAATAGATATGGTGCATATTTCTCCAATCAACATAATCTGTTTATCATGGAACACCTCCCCTGGACAGCTTAAAGTGACATTAAAGTAGTAGATATAGGCAAAAAAACAGGAGGCTTTAGAACCCCTTTAATTACAACTGCTAGCTTCAATCATGCAAATGCAATCAATGCATTACCTCCATGCTGGTTATAATAAACAGATTATGTCTTATTGGACTTGTTACAGAAATAATGAAATGTAAAGTCTGTGTGTTTTAAAAAAGCCAAAGGCTTCTTTTCAAAAATACTTTTTCTAAAATGGCTTTGCATTTTTAGTATTATTTGCTGTCAGCAACCAGATCACCTGTCTAGCAGCAGATGGCACTGTTGATCTCCATTTGCCCAACACATGCTGTTCAGAAAAGACTTAGCATTTCTCAGATAGCTGAAGTGTCTCGCAGTGTATTGGGATTAAAGGAATGAAACTAGATGTAAAGAGCTCTGCCTTCAAAAACATTTTTTAACAATGATGTTAGCATGTGATGTAAACCTAAAAGATCTCCAAGATCAACCATGATATGCAGGGGTTAGGGGAAAAAAAGTTGCCACAGTTCAGTTGTTAAAATACTGTAGCACAAAGTTCAGCATCAGAGTCCAGTCTTGCATGTCACAGCATAACTAATATATTCTCTCATCTCTAAAGGCTTCTATGGACAAAAATGTCCCACTGGAGTTCTGGCTCTGCCCCATCAATGGCCTTTACCACACTGGAACTATTTAAAATCCAAAGCATTGTAAGTTTAACTAACACAACTTCCACTACCCACAACTAGTTCCACTATGAAGTGCCTACTGCAGATATTGAAAAATAAATGACCAATAAAACATTGAACACAACTGAACCTAAATTTTAATTTTAAGATTGCTGGTATAAGAAACTTGGTATGCCATAAAAAAAGGGATTTTGCACTTTTGCCCTCAAAATTCAGAAACAAATCAGACAGAAAATCAGTTATCCTGAGACAACTGGGTTATAATGCCACCTTCAGGTAGACGTATAGCAGGTATTCAGGTAGTTTGGACACTGGCAATAAAAAAAACCCCCACAAAGCCAGCCAGCCCTGCTCCAACTGCCATGTTTGTGAGCAAGCAGTATGAGGTCAATACTTGTGCCCCTTATGAACTCCAAGAAACAGATTTTATGGTAAGTACAAAAATCCTGTTTCCTTTCTCATTCCTTAAGGGACCCAGGATTCAGTTACTCTGAGACATTTGTGGCACTGAAACACAGTCCAACTAAGGGAGCCACTGATAAATTCAACAGGGGAAGAGATCTAACTAGAAGAACATCGAAAGGAATCAATACCAGAGAAAGGGGGGAGCAAATATGGAAATTGCTACTAACAGGGAAATGTACCAAGAATAAATCTGGTGTTCCAGAGTAGAGCAGGTAGCAACACTAGAAGTAGACTGCTGTCTGAAAGAATTATGGACCTCAACAAGAATGGGGAGGAGAACCAATCAACCACCATAAAGAAAAACAACAGGTAGAAGAGACTTAGACCAACAGCTAAAGTGGTCAACAAAACAAGAATGGTTGCAAAGTAAAAGCCAAAGCCTAGGCTATCTAACCCCTTAGGGAAATGAATGCTGGGCAAGCAAGGTATGTCCAGACCAAAGACTAACCAATGAACATCTGGGATTGAAGCAAAATGGATATCTCGACTTCAGAGAAAGGGAGATCTATAATATAACAGTCCTTTCAAGAGTAATGTAAAGGGAGAGAGGGAAAGAGACCTTCAATGTGAAACAAAGAAGGGTAGAGTACCAAGTTCCTTTTAAGAAAAGGGTGGAGAGATGCAAACACCTATATTAAAGGTAAATTAAGTTAGGAAATATTGTAGCCCAATAGAAGTACGTGGAGTCCAGAACAAAAAGGATAAGGAGACCTTCCAACTCATACCAACAGATAATAGATAAGTGTGATAGTCACAGTACAACCTGCCTGAATAGTCAGTCAGATATAGGGGGCAAATGGATCTTTCTTCCAATAAATAGGTCCCATAAGGAGCTGCGGACTTACAGCTTTACACCTAGGGGAACTCTTCAGTTAAGTAAAAGAGTGCTGTGTCTGGTAATCTTCAATGGAAGAACAGAAGTAATAAGATGGATGTTTGTGAGAAATGAAAATAAGTTGCATTCATGAAAAAAAAAACTTACAGTATAAAGGAGGGAAACATTCAGAAACAGGGCTCTGGAAACTAGACTTCGAGTTCTGCATGGAAATAGTGTCGACACTATGAGGCCGCGAAAGCTATCCAGTGTAAGGTAGGTAGAAATCAGACAGTGACAGATGGAGTATTCAAGTTCATCTGGAAGAAAGGGTATTGCAAACACTATTGCAGTGCAGCAGGAGTCAGCTTAATGTATATTTCCACTTTTGCATCCAAACTAAATGGAAATGTTCCCATTCACAGAGCATAAGCCAAAAAAATGTACAAAATGCTTCTTGTAGCTGAAATAGCTTTTACCCGGGTTATGGATTCATTGCTTCCTATGGGTTAAAATTAACAACAGAGGAAAAAAAGTAAGATTCCAACCTTTTAGGACACTAGTAAAAACAATTGAGGCATGGCGGTTGGAGGCAGAGTTATACCAGTTCTGGCTTAGTGTTTTGTCTGCCAGTGTCAAAACGTCCTCGAGGTGGCAGTATAACCCAATAACTGAATCCTGTGTCTCTTAATGAATGAGAAAGAAAATGCCTTTACTTATCTACTGGTTAATTAAAAATAAAATTGTACTGTGACTGCAACACATACACAGTGCGCGTACACTCCCGTTATGTGTAAAAGTCAGAGGAATGGGATTATGTAACTGCAGTGGGCAAGCACTGGTGTTTCTAAATCAGTGATCACCAAGTGGCTGAAGACAAAAGATGCTGTGCTGGTAGAAGTGGAGAAGATGGCAGTAGTATAGGGGAGCTTAAGCCTGTCAGCATTGGAGGAGGTGAGAGTTCCTGGGGTACCTGGGCACTTATTCCTGGTATAACCCGGTCACAAACTTGGGCACATCAAATTTAGCATATATTAAGCATTGTACATACAGAGGTAATGTTTAGGAAAAGCCCTATATAAAAACAATTTAATGTAACACATAGACAGTTAAAGTTTACAAAGAAGTCTCTTTGGCCCTAAGGATGGGGCCAAATTTGACTTTTACAGGAAAGCACACAATTTGAATAGAAGTTTTGCTGTCTACAGCTTTGGATCTTCTGATTTCTTTAAATACCTAAAGGCCAGCGGGGGTGAACAGTACACCGCAGTGTTCATACAAACCGTGATAAGTCCAATCTTATACTGATTTGCTATCAAGCTTGCCCTGTGAAAAAATGTGTTTATTTACAGATAGCTGCAAACTGTTTCTTGCAGACGGCTCACCTGGTGGTCAGAAATTCGATCAACTTGTTGGCTTTTTCATCCGTCTCTGCTGATGTGTCAACATCCTCAATCTCCTGGCTGATCTGAGGGATGTTCCCACTGCTTCCTCCCAGACTGATGCTGGAGGAGGTTGAGCTGGAGCTCAAGCCAGAGTCTGGCACTGGAGATGACTGGTACTCCCGCAGAAAGTCAAACCCTCCTGCCAGAGATAATGAAGGAATGCATTCAATCAGTTTTCTATCTCCAACAAGCACAGACACAGCTAAAGACTCATACAAATAGACAGCTCTGCTAAAATCTGCAAATGTACCAGTGTGGACAAGGCCTCATTCGTATGAAAAGAACGTACCTGTGTTCAGTACATTGTTCAAAAGTAAGTGCAATGTTCAGAAATGTTGGACAGAGGCACGGTTATTGACTTCATGTTTCTGCATCCAATTTATTTATCCACACTATACATAGAAACATGTATGGGCACTTTAACTGTTATGTAGCAAATGCAGGGTAACTGGTATAAATTCAAGTAAACTGAGAATAAAGTGGTGTACTAATGCACATGAAGCATGACAAACTTGTATGTCTGGCCAAAAACAAACATATGAAGTGTATCTCAGCACATATCCCAATGTTTAACACTGCGTACAGAAAAACAGATGGTCCTGACAGAAAACCAGTGAGCTCCTAACTTCCTGTTCTTAGCTAACAACTCTGCCTTTACAGAGTTGAAATCAGAGCGTAGTCATCAGCCCTGTCTTATTTCTATCCTGCTGGGATACAGAATTCTGCCTATCCCGGCCCTCTCTGTCCCTATCCATATGCATAATTTACATTGATTCCATTCCCAGCAAAATATCACAACTGTCTTGCCTCCCAAGAGCCTGGCCACACACTAGTTGTAGGGGAATGGCTCTTAATAGATGTAGTTCAGCTTTGCCTTTGTCAATAGGAACTGGCCTAACACCCTGCTGATCCCTGCTCCCATCATCTGTCGCTGCAACAATTTTATAAGCCTGGTAATGACATGAATAAAAGCAGTTTCTTGCTACAGGAACAAAGTAAAAGAGAAGAGGGCAGAAGGGAGGGTTGGGAGTAAAGCTGGGTCATGTCTATTTAAATCCTAAAACAAAATAAAAAACACCTTTTTGCCATTTCCTTCTTTCCTCTTGTGTGAATATAGCTCTATTAATGTTAGTATAGCAAACAACCATACCCTTGGATTCCAACTGTTCCCTATTCTATCAAAAACGTAAAAAATATTTTGCCTGGATTTGGCATTAAGTGATATTTAATATTATCTATAAAATAACTAAATTACAAACATAAAGGGGATATAATTTTTACAACACCTGGGCTACATGGATTCACAATTGTTCGACTGTTTCTACAGAACCTGCGAATTAGTACGTTGTTGCCTGATTTATGGTCTTCTGAGGTCGTAGTTTTACTATGTATTATCGCAGCTCTTCCTTCTGTGAGACATGAGTAGTTTATGACCCGTCCTAGTGCTTTACTCCTCTGCCTCAACACCAGTTTTGACGGGAGCCAATTCCCAACTTGATTTCCAGCTGACCTGCCAACCTAGGAAGAAGGCTCGTACTGTTTTGACTGAGCTGGTAGTTTTATCATGACTCTATGTTTTCCTCTTATTGGCTATTGACTTGTGCTTTAAGGCTCTGTTCACACCTAGGCGTATCGAATATGCGCGTTTGTCGCGCGTCTCGTACGCTTTGTCAACGCTCTACAAAACGCTCAAACTTGAAAACACCCTGCCGTATTTCAGCCCGTCTGAACGCGCTACAAAACGGCCTACGCCTGAAAAGGTACATGAGCTTCTTTGCTGCATTTTTGTCTTGCGTTTCCATTGGGATACAGCCAAGTAGCCCTCGGAAACGCGCGTTTGTCGCGCGTTTTTTTTACCGCGAATCGCGGTAAAAACGCACGTCACGAGACGCGCGACAAACGCGCATATTCGATACGTCCAGGTGTGAACAGAGCCTTAGTCTGTCCCCATCCCTATGTCGCCCTTCCCTCCCTTTGCCCCCAACAACACCATTTAACCCAATTCTACTGTATTCACAGAGTGCTATTAGTGTGTTATCTGACCCGACTCTTAGTGCTTTTTTTTCTCCCTCTTTTCCCTTCCCTTTTGCTTGTATTTTCTCTTGTTCTTTTGCATTGTATTGTGCAAATTAACAAACAAAAAGGGGGGATATCATGAAGTCAACTCATGCAAATTCAAGACCAATCAAATAGAATATGTTAAGTAAGAGTGGCCATACACAAGGATTAAAATCAAAATCCCATCACATTTCACCTACCAAATCTATAACAATACCATAAACAGGAATGTTTATTTCGCATAAATGGCTGCCATTTTTAAAACTATAATGGGTTATTTTTTATACAAACATAATGAGGGGTGCAGTAATTCCTTGGTAACAGTTAACACCAAAGCAAATAACTTAATGGTGTGTTTTATGAAATCTGCATTACAGTGCAATCAATGCATTAATGAAGACAAAGCTAATCTGAATGGTGGAAGTTCAAAGACATTATTGCACATCGATCGTTATTACCTGTATAGGGATACTCTGATGAGCAGGAAGACTGCACGGTCAATGTCTTGGCTTCGTTTATCTCTCGAGCATGCAGGAGGACAGATGCAATGGAAGAGTAATTGCTGTTGCAGGACAGAGCGATCAAAATATGGAGAAGGAGCTTTCTGCTGTGTTCAAAAACTTCAGGCCGGTAATGATCAAGACCTAATACACACAACAGACAAGACAAAATAATAATTTCTATCTCCTAGAAACCACCCATGTAATACACATCTGCCTTTAGAAAACAAAAAACCTAGACTTACCAAGCTTATTCAAAAAGAAACAATGGCAATCAGATTTCACTACTACTTAATCTCAACCCAGGACCTGGCACTCTGACAGGTTGCTATGGACTAACATAGAACTAAGTTCTCTATGTAATAAAGCTGTTAGTGTTATATACAGTATATCCAAAATTAGGTTCTGAGCCCAACTTTGCAAGAAACCAAAAAGAACCAAAATATAATTTCTAGTACAAAAGGTATCCAGTTGGCATTTCAAGTGTATTTCCACTTTTGCAGCTAAATTAAGATAACACCTACTTTATATTTGTTACATGTCCTCATTCACATTGCATAACTAAAAATTTAAAAATGAGATATTTTAAAACGGCTGCTTAGCTTTTTACATGCTCTGTTCTAAAAACTATAGGACTGAACAATGCAATTTAGTCCCCCTTTCTATGTAATGTTTACAAGGGGGCTGGGAAGTTGTTTTGCCATAATTAACCCTGCCTGTATTGTGTTGGAGATTTCCATGATCAGTTAACTAGAAGTGGAGGACTGTTTTTGTCCTAACAAAGGGTAAAGACCTAGGGTGGTACAATGTATGTTACTGCCCTTCATTTTGTCCCTTATCTTCACACTGCCCTCTTTTGAAAACAATAGAAGTTGCCTGTCATGTCCTATGTATGACCAGGCGCCCAAGAAACAACTAATAATGTAGGAAACAGGTTTTTAAAAAAAATATTATTAGGTATTTTGTGTGAAAGGAGCTACTGTACATTTTTTTTAGAAAGTTCTCTGCATTGGTCTTTAATTAAATTAAAGTGAACCTGCAAGCAACACATTCCCTTTTAAGCTGACTCCCACAGCTACAGCTAAACGTCCCTTCATTTGTCCAGAGAGGAACGAGAAGCCATGTGGGAGCTCCAAGTCACAGCTTAAAGCTCACATAGGACATGTGACAGAGCTGGGTGTCTGCTCAGCCAATCGCTAAGCACCAGTGCTGTTATGAGGGATGAGGGCTAGTGAGTCACATGCTCCCCCATAGCTAGAAGAAATGGGCATGTCATTTTTCTTTCCCCACTGAATGGCGCAGCGGAGAAGCAAAAGGGAATGTTGAAGTATAAGCAGCTGTAAGGGCCAGCATATTTCTGGCAGGACCGCACTAGAAGGGCATTCAGAACACGGATGGAATGCCACCCAAAAAAAATGAGCACTATTCATCTGAACACAGCTGCAGTGTTCAGATTGATGATTCAATGCAACATAAAATGTTCTCTGAGCATAATCATGATAAAAAGTCCTAAACAGTTCTCCAACACATAGTAGGGTCAAATAATTAATTCTATGAAGAGTCTACACAGCTTATGCCCTATGGTGGCTGGGCATAGCAGTAATATTCATGCATACAGACCTACCTGCCAGAAGACCATGTGCTGTTTACTACTGGGAAGTGGGACCCAGTTTATCAGCACTGTGTGTTATTTTATTGGGCGTTATTTATTGGGCATAAACTAAGTGGCGTTAAAAAACTGTCGTCATTTGAAAGCTACAAAGAATTAAATAAAATATGTAAAAAGGAACTAAAGCTTGCAAAGATTCATAACGAGCGACAGGTTGCAAAAGATTGCAAGATTAACCCCCAAAAATTCTTTAAATATATTAATACTAAAAAAATCAGGTCGGAGCATGTTGGACCCTTAAAAGATAACTCAGAGTTGGTAACTGGGGACAAAGAGAAGGCAAATCTATTAAATACTTTCTTCAGCTCTGTGCACACCAAGGAACATGATATAGCTCAAGTCCATAATGGGGATAGCAGTGTCATACCCTCTACCAAACCACAATGGCTGACTATTGATATGGTCCAGAAACAGATAGACAAAATTAAGGTGAATAAAGCACCTGGACCAGATGGCTTACACCCACGTGTCCTCAAAGAATTGAGCGGTGTAATTTCAAAGCCATTGTATCTAATTTTTAGAGACTCTCCAACGACCGATGGATTGGCGCAAAGCCAATGCGGTGCCTATATTTAAAAAGGGATCAAAGTATTTACCAAGTAATTACAGACCAGTAAGTTTAACCTTAATAGTTGGCAAGATACTTGAAAGTTTGATCAAGGATCACATGCAATTGTTTTTGCTTGAAAATAATATCATCAGTGATAGTCAGCACCGATTCACAAAAGAAAGAAGATAAAAAAACATCTGGATCTATTCCTAAATGCACAGAATATTACTGGATATTGAATTATTATAGGTATATTAGGCATCAGAGATTGTTGGTCCAGGGAATATCCGATTGCCGATGGGAACAGGAAGGAATGTTTTCCCCTGTTGGAGCAAATTGAACCGTGCTTTAGAGGGGTTTTTTGCCTTCAACATTGGGTAATTATGGGCATAGTGTTCTGTTTAGGCTTTTCTTCTTTTTTTTTTCTCCGTATCTCTATAGGTTGGACTCGATGGATTTGTGTCTTTTTTCAACCTGACTAACTATGTAACTATCAATCAATAAAGCCCACTAGAGACATGGACATATGGCTTCGGTGGGGGGGGAAAAGGAGTTGTATATATCGCAGTTGTGCGGGCTTGGGGTGGCGTGTGGTTTTAATGTATGGATGCTGTATGTATGGGGTGGGGACTATATGTACAGCTGTGAGAGGAAGAGGGGCTGTATGCACAGCTGCAGTGACTGTGTTTATATATATAGATAGATATATATATATATATCTATCTATATATATACGTACACACACTGTAGGGGCTGGAAACGTTGTCAGATGAACATTACAATCCTGACATTTTGGAGCTGCCTTTGGGACAGAATGGCCTGTTCTAAAGCAATGAGATCTCAATTCCCCCTCCAACCCTGTACAGAATATCCTGCATGTGGTTTTGACAAGGAACAGCAGTTTCATTAGTGAGGGTGTTGGCCATACCAATCTGATGCCAGCTGTCATTTTCCTAGAACATGCAGACACCACATAACCAGTTTTGTTTACTCACTATTCAAATATGACATCCCAAGAGTTATAAAATTTGTTAGATGAGGATAGATGCATTCCAAAATGCAGGCCCAAAAACACCTTTAAAGACCATATATCTATAGTAACCTCTATAGTAACATCAAGTGATATCTCACGTATAAATACCCAATACACATAAATCAAAACAAATAATTACTATAAATGTTCCAGGCCTCTCTAATTTTTACAATGATTCCTTTTAGGATAAAGGCATATAACTCAAGATCCAGGAATATGAGATTAAACTTGCAATTTTATCTTTCTTTCAAAATGAAAGAATATGTGCGGTTTCAGACATGTCAAAAAATAGTTTGCCAAATCATATCAAGAAAGTCAAGACGTGATTTGGAAAAGTGAAAAAATAAAAACATTTAGGAGAATAAATTAAGGCTGGTCTCTAAAATGATAAAACTAAAATTCCAGAAATAAGTAACCTCAAGTACACCATAAATAAATCAAAATACCAGGGAAGGAAGAGATATTATAGAGAAAGAAAGGGAAATATTTTATACTCTAGGGAATGGTAAAATATTATATTATAGAGAAGGGAATGAAATTATTTTATAGGGAAAGAAAGGGCAAGCAATGGAAATATACAGTAAGAAAAGGGTAAGAAACAGTAAAGCAAGGTAGGAAAGCAAGAGTATGGCAGTGAGAAAAGTGAAATAAATAAATAAACGAGCGTGTGATGCACATGAAGAAAAGTAAATGCACATTACACATTAAAAAGAACAGACAGGGAAAGGATATGGTAGAGAGGAGAAGGGTATGTAGGAAGGATATTGTAATGGTACGAAGGAGAAGGGCAAGTTACAGAAGGGATGAGCGGGGAAGAGAAACAAAAAGAACTGGGAAAAGGCCTGTGAAAGGAATGGTAAAGTAAAGGAAGGAAGGAAACATAAGGAAGTGCAAATAAATATTTACATTTTTTTCATTTCATTTTATTTTCTACATTGAAAATATCCGTGCCTAGTTTATTTAGTATTCAATTAATCATATTCTAAACGCACAATTCTGCTTTGATAACTTCAGAGCCTGAAATAAGTATTGTCTCTGTTGCCTACCTACTGACAAATGAAAATATGTATTCTCCAAAAGTTATATTCCACTGCAGATCTGAAATGGATTGATTGCCATAGGCAACAAAGACAGTTTTTATTATAGACTCTATAAATGAGGCTGTGTCTCCTGAAAGTTAGCTGTGCAAGGACACAATAGTCTTTCATGCTAAAAGATGTATGTAGACGGACAATACTTGCCCAAGAAGAGCGCGTGGAGCAGCAGAGGAAGGTGCAGGGCCCAGTCTTCTCTCACACTATGATCCACCACCATCTCCGTCATGAAAATGACAGCAATATTGCACCTGCAGGTAAGAAGAAAGAGTTCAGCCAATCACTGTATGATGATGATGATGATGATGTTGTTGATGATATTCTCGTAAGCTGGCCCTAAAGTGAGTGAATTTTGCTGGTTCTTGACGAACCAGCTGACATTTGCTCAGTGGGTGGCCCCGTCGGCAGCCTCTCACCTGACATCTTTCAATCAGAAAATCAAAGGTGCTGGATGGAAAATTGTTGTTCCTTTTTAGGGCAGTGGCTCAAAGTCTGAAGCCAGAGGATCAAATTGAAAAGAAAAAAGCTTTTAAAAAACAGGTCAACAATGGCAGCCGACAGATTTCTCTCAGAACACATTTCCATCACTAAACAACTATTGTTTTTAGACATCCTTAGGTATAAGTATAATACTTGAAAAAAAAAAAAAAAAACTAGTTCAGTATAATCCAGCCAAGCAGGTCTGAACCAGGAAAAATACCTCTTCTCCCATAATGCAAAATGAGCTGCTCCTATTCTACTTCAGGAAAGCGGTGCTGGGAAGTAGTATATTGTGGAGGGTATGATTACAGAAACAACATGCTAGAGCAGCAGATAATGGACTGCGAAAAAAAGTCTATTTTTTATTGAAAATTAAAGGAAGAATTGTATTTTCTTTCCAATTGCTTTGCTTTATTTTAAAATAAAAATGTTCTGAATCCCAAAACAACATGCTGCTTTTCATTTAAAACGGGGTTCGCCAATATCAGAATATTTGGAATTTTTCTTCTGACAATCCAACATGAGCACAGAGAAGAAAATGCTTTATACGTTTATAAAGCCAAGAGAGGTTAAGAGAGGATTTCCCTCATTTAAGTTAGGCTTCCCTTCACTTCCCATTCCATAGACACAACAGGAAGTTGGAAGAAATATCTCTAAAGTTAGGGAAGATTTCCTTTCAAATCCTGTTCCAAAGACAACTCAAAACCTTGGATTTTCCCTCAGTTTTAGCCCCGGTGATGTAGTCACCAGGACAAATAGAAAGAGTAAACCTTCCCAGTGTGGGCAGACAGCAAGACAAACCTGACAGGGATGATAGCCCTTCACCACTCTATACAAAACTAAAACAAACAAAAAAAGACAATTTTTGCTTTAGATACACAAAGAATTTGGTGAAGGACATGACAAATTTCGATCAGCCAAATAAACTATGAATCAAAGGTGACAACATGTTCCCTTCTTATCCATGTCTGAGAGTCAACAGCTGGACATTGTAACCCAACAAAGTTAGATTAATGTTTCTGTCCTAGGATGTTCTCATTGTATGATCACTTACATTAATTATATTATCAACTTGTATTATTTTTGAATCCCCGAAAAGCCAGGCTTTCTAAAATCTGAGCACATACATGTACTATATGGGCCAAGCAGGCACAATGCCCCTCAGTATTTATCACTAATGGTAATTACTATGCAGCTAAACTGAGATTTATAATTAAAACAACCCGGACAGGGTAGCAAATAAATGAAGTGTCGAGCTGTCATACTTGTGTCTCTGACGGTTGTGTTTTCTATGTTTGCTCCAGCACTGCAGCCTTTGTCAATACTTTTAGCAGTCAACATTTCAAGGAATTTTGGATGCATGTGGCCCATGCTGCATGCCATGGTACTATCCTCCCACCCCTACGTCAATACAACTTGCATTCCTGACATATCAGTCACTAAGTATTGGTTCTGGTCTTGGTAATAATTTCTATGGGTTGCAACGGCGGCAGCCCCATACAATGGCCCTGGTTCTGCTGTTATCAGTGCCACTATGGCTCAGAGTGTGAAAGAGATAAGGAACCCCTTAACAGTATCAGCGCCTCTCCTACTCTAGCTTTACTTACACAATAGAACAACCCTGTGTCATGCCTACTGAGTGTTTTACAGAGCAAATAGCCTCCCAGTGTCATATGACTACATTGTACTACATCAGAGGTAGCCAAACTCTGGCCCTGTAGCTGTGGTGAAACTACAAATCCCATTAGACATTGCAAGACTCTCACAGCCACAGTCTGGGCATGACTCCCAGAGGCAGATGCATTACGGGATTTGTAGTTTGACCACAGCTGGAGGTCCGAAGTTTGGCTAGTCCTGCAATATCAACAGGAGCCTCTGCTGGGTTCTCCTCCCCTGGAAACAGTACAGCCAGATCATGTGATTGTAGAAGACGATTTTGTGGCATTTTACAATCTATTTTTATAATTGAGTTTTAATGTATGTAGACCAGTCTCTAATAAACACTATTTTTCTGCCTTCACACCAGAAATATTTTAGGGAGACTTAGACAGTGTGGTGTAGGCAATCAGCACCAGTCACCGTGAGCATCAATGGTGTAAAGAGAGGCACCTGTGTTCTGACGCACACACCATTCATGCAGAACAGAAGGTACATGTCTGTTTTCTATTTCCTAATGTCTGTTTTCAACACTAGCAAATAATTCAAAAAATGTCAGCACTGATAACAGTGTGGAATGAGCTCACTCACATGGTCTTCAGTCTGCACGCACATAAAAGCCTACAGAGCGTGCTTGCTGCTGCTTTATAACCACATATTTCCTACATGTCCTTACTTGCGAGTCTGGCACCTACATTCCTCACATTAGGTATATTGCTGGATCTATAACACCTAATAGATTTATGCACCGACATGAGTTTTCTGCTTTCCCTTCATACATTTCCAGTCCGATTTAGAGCCTCCTAATAATTTCCCTTGGATAAACAAATGAATACTTAACCATGAACCTAACCAAAAGTACTTCATTCTTTACCTCACCCTGAAAATGTAACCCAACAAAGCTCCTAAAACCTAACCTCAATTCTTTTCTTCAATCTCTGTACCCCGCCTTAACCTAGTCAAACCCTTATGCCCTTAAATACTGGAGTTACTGTGCCTGCGTTGAATGATACCAGCCCCACCCCCAATTCAAATGCTTTCTATATCTCAGGGTTCTCTTATCAGTTCATTGTAATAGTCTGGGCAATGCATTGCACAGTGCTTACAGTCAGGGCATATTCAGACAAAGAAAAAGTAAACTTTCTTAAACATAAGCAGTGTGACAAGTTAATATAACCACGCTCCTCCTCACCTATGAAGTGGTCCCCGTGGGGTAATGGTTTCAGGCAGGTAGTCTACCAGTGGTGCCCAGCATCCTCCATTGCAGGGCATGGGCAGGGGTTGTGGCTGATTGCTCTCCACTATGTTTAAGAGCCAGCTGATGTAGGGAGACACTGGATCATCTACAACAGAAGATGATAATATGTATTAGTCCTAGTTTATAAAAGGTAGAAACATGGCTGGACCATCCCAGTTTATAAAAGCACTGGAAGAGCTAAACAATCCAAGAACAAAGTAGGCAAAGTGTCTACCTATTCAGCTTTTTTGTCTCAGTCAGTAAAGCCCCCATTTCCCTGGCTTCATGTAGACTCTTTCAGTCCTGCATTAAAGTGACACTAAACTCAGGAGTTTAATCTTTAAAATACATTCAAATACCTTAACTCTGACCAAAATCTTATTGTGTATCACTCGGCTGTAGATCCTCAAATCATCTCTGAATTCTTGCTGACCGGGGTCCTTCCTTCTGAAGGGTGGCTACTTTTGTGACCCATGGTGCCTGTGTGTGTTAAAGTAGCCACAGCTCCAAACTCACTCCCAGGATGAAATACAATCTCAATACAAATGAGTAGACTACAATCGCACATTAAGTTTACTCATTTGTATTGAGATTGTAGTCCATCACAGAAGCGAGCTTGGAGTGGTGACTACTTTACAACACACACAGGGCCCATGGACAACAAAAAGCCCCCCTCCAGAAGGAAGGACAGTGTCAGCACCAATTCAGAGATGATTTGAAGATCTACAGCCGAGTGATTCACAAATAAGATAAGTGTCACTTTAAGAACACTAGGAGTGGCATGTGTTACCATAAACCGTAACGGTCTCTCAAACACATGGGGTATTTTGGTTAAGTTGGTCAGTTTAGCTGTAAATAGTGCTTGGCAGGATTCTGTAATATCCTATTATTATGCATTACCATAGTTCACCACTAAGGCAGTAACAAACATCGGAGTTGAATCGGGTCAGCTTGAGCACTTTATATTATATGTGCTTATGCTCTTTATCTATAATAGTTTTGCATAATGGATTTCTAACATGAACAAGCTAAGTTTTATTTCAGGGTGACCTGATGCTTTCTGTTACATAATGAGGCCAATTTACTACAAAAGTTGAGAATCTTCACACAATATAAATTGTGTGAATATTCACTTTAATTATCCAATCATGGGAAAATCAAATTCCTTTTTACTTATTTAAACTGCACATGATTGGATAATTCTGCAGTAAAAAAGCCCAAATGGCTGCATCATAAACTATTCCTCAAACAAGCATAACTTTACAGTTCAAACGATGTAAAGTAAATCAAAGAAACTGATTTCAGTAGCACCCCAAAATGGTGCAGAGCCAGGCACTGTGTAAGGCATATATCCATATTGCCCTTTTTAGATAAGGTGGCGGTAGCCAATACGAGACCCCATGGCTATCTGAGAGCAACTGTTACAGCTTTTTTTAAGATGAAGAAATGAAAAGGGAAGATTGCTATAGACTGCAATAGGAGGGTGCAATCAACCCCCTGGCTGTGAAACCAAGGAATGGGAATGCTCTGCAATTGGAAAAGAACCACCATTTAGGGTTGGGACTAGCAGATTTATGTATACAGTTTCTTGTCAAATTGTTACTATGGTACAAAAACTACAATAAAGCGCTTTGCTTAAGACCCAAAAAACGAAACCTGTTTATTTCCATTAGTTTTACTGGGCAATGTGCTTTTTTATAAGGTTTGAGTAAGATAATATTGATAGTTTCTATATATGAAATGTACTGTAGCATTTGACAATTTGACACATGTGGACAGATATCCCCACATGAATACCTTGCCAGGACTGATGGGACTCTCATTGTTGCGAATCATTGAGGCTATAATCAATGTCATTTCGATATCCCTCTCCTCTAAATAATCCTATCCTGGATTTCAGCTATCATATCCTTGGGGAACTTTCATCTACAACAAAATGCATTAAGAGCTAGTTCACACCAACGCGCGTTCCAGGAGAAGAGCAGTTACAGAACGGATCAAAACTGCGTTCAATGTATTCCAATGGTATTTTGGGCTCTAGTTCACACCGCAGCCTTCAGTTCCGGAGCATGTAAAAAAACTGCAAGCCCTATTTTACCTGCTTTGGAACGCATGCAAAAATGCATGCAAACGCCATGGAACACACTGAAAGCCCATTTTAAACTAAAAATGCAAAAACGGCCCTTCACGCGTCAAAGACGCGGCAAAACACACTGCACTGCGTGTGCAGAAACTCATGCAGATCTGGTCTGCATTTGGTGTGAACAAGCCCTCAAATACAATGCTGATATTGTTTAACAGGATTAACTTTAGCTGCTGGATGCTTTCACTTGATACTATATAGAAGATTTATGGACAGTGTTATATACAGTGTTACATTTTACTCACTGAACTGCAACTCAATTTATAACATTTGTATCATGTGTTTTTTTTCTGGATTTTTGGTTGATATTCAGTCTCTATCATTTAAACTACACCTGTGATAAAAATTATAGACCTTTCATTTCTTTGTAAGTTACAAATTTACAAAATCTGCAGGGGACCAAATCATTATTTTCCTCACTGTACTTAGAAAAAGGGAGTGTGGTATATGGGAATTTTATTTCATTACCACGGTTTTTAAAATGTTGCTTGTCAATATGCTTTTCTTTATTAAGTTTAAATAAATAATTATATATTATTGTATAGAACATGTGCAGTGGCCATGGCTTATAAAAAGTTTACATAGAACTTTTGTGTTTTTTTTTTTTTGAAAGTGGTTGTTTGGGAGTTATAGCAATTGACAAACGGCATGGCTGGAATTACATCCGTAAACATTCCATCGAACATTGTGGCAATGTCTTCATTGTTATACATTTTATACATTCAGAAGTCCCTTCAACCTTCTCCAAATTGGTATCTTTATACAGTCAAATGTCCTTTGAACAACAGGTCCTTGTGTGGAATGGAGCAACGGCAGTAGTTCATAGTAACCAATCAGATTTTAGCAGTGTAGGGTTTTCAGGAAGATGATTTCTGACTTGCTAATATATATTACTGCACCTTGCCAATTTCTTTTCAACTTAAATAGAGGTTTTTGAATGGCATCTAACATGCATAGTGCAAATATAATAAAGCAAAAAACAAACAAAAACAAAAAAACCAGGCAAAATAAATCTTACTTTTATCGTCATCATAGGATCCTCCAGAGCTGTTACTGTATCTTGATTCCAGCCTTGTATGTGCTCTGATAACATTACCAAACCTTAAAAGAAAACACAAAAGCACAATATGTTACTATTATAATATTGATTCTTTGCATATTTAGGGAACAAAAATCTAAAAGCTTCCATGCAGCTTGTATTTATCTCAGTTGACCAGTGTAGCCTCAAATTCTCTGCTTTATTATATCTAATTTATACATGAAATATTGTGAACCTCGTTCATGAAAACTGGAACAAAGAAAAAGTATTTGTAGTATAAGCAATAACGGGCATCTCCTGGCACCCGCTCATAGGCCTTCCCGAATATAAGACCCGAGGGCCTGTAGAAAACAAATACAATTGGCAAACACCTGCCTTCTATGGCTGCACATGGCAATTAAGGAACCTTAATCAGCCTAGCAGGCATCATCAGCTGTAACTTTTGTATATAAACTATTTGGAGCTCTGTGCTTCATATCTGATAAGAGACTGGAATATTTAGACTGAAACATCATTCAGCAACACTGACAAATATGTACTTCTGCAAACATTCATGGTATCTGCTTGGTCTGATTTTTAAAAAGGAGTCAAAATGCTAAACATCTTAAAAAGCAAACATACTGCACAAAACAGTAACAGATATAAGAAGTAATTCATAAAACTGCAACAGAAAATAAACACAGAAGTAAAACCGATGCCCATAGCAGACCACCACACTGCATGTATAGTTTTCCCACTACAATCCAACCCAGCAGCTATGGTAACAACTAGCATTTCTTCCGGTTTTCATAAATGAAGCGGAAAAATTGTAAAGAAAACTTTACAGAAAAGACGAATGGTGCACTTGATGTGACACTGGACACTCACCTGTCATCCGTGTCTTTAGCTTGTCTGCTCTCTTCCAGATCAGGAAAGCCATCCTGACCAGCAACCACTGTATTGCTGCTTGAGGTGGTACCTGGGGGACAAAGTAAACAATATCAAGGTTATTCTACATATTTTAAACATGGAGGACCTATAAGAACGGAACAATGGCTACACCTAATGTTCCAAAACAAAACAGATTCCATTCTTTAAGGTTTGCAAACTATATGGTGTTTCTTTACAAAGGAGCTACAGGTTGTCTGTGCCACTGTCACATCATGTAACAAGACCAGGGACAAAATTGATTTTTCTGTGTTGGATGGAATGTGGCAGGGTACACTATCCCACCATTTCTTCACTGCTGTCCAGTAATCTGTCATAAAAATCTCCCCTGTTCCAGAATAGCTATGCCAGGCCAAGCTTATTTAAACTGATATAATGTATGATGTGAGTATTTTCTCTATACATTCCTTTGGCTACTTAACTGGACACAAAATGTTTTTATTTTTGAACACTGGTCTACTAGTGGATTATCAGTAGAAATAAATGAGAATTAGCCAGCTAGGTCAGTTAAAAATAAATAGTGACTGAAACGTTGGCAGGCTGGGGGACATGAACAGCAGTAAAGACTATGAGATGAGTGATTTCCACTCACCTCATAGTTCTAGCCGACATGTGACAATGAGACTGTCACACGAGTTACCAAAATCTGTATAAGATAGATGATCTTTCCTGTTGAATTTCAATAAACTAATTTAGAGAACAGGAGATTGATTTCCGAGAACAAGAACTACTAGCCAGATCTTGACAAGAAGAAAATCCTTTTTTCTATTTGTAAAATCAAACTCTGCAGTATATGTCAATATTTGAAAGCTAAATATACGAGACCTGGTGGGTGAAGAAACTGCCTAAATCCAGCCCAAAAACAGAGAATGTGTGTGATGAATATGGGTTGCCTCTAATCCACACACCCCGACACTGATGCCGCTTCAGCTAACAACTGATGTATTGCCTTGTTTTATCTGTACAAGAATCGGGTTCACAGAATGATTAACTCCGACCTCAGATCTTCAAGAAAAAATTTAATTTAAACAGCCAAGTTACAAATTCTGTGTCAGATGGCTGATCTTTCTTGTTGAATTTCAATAAACTCGCTTGAAGGAAAGAAGACGGATTTCCAAGAACAAGAACCAATAACTAGATCTTGTCAAGAAGAAAATCCTTGAGGACAGAATTGTGTTTGTAAAATCAAACTCTTTACTGCAGCATACTTCATAGTTGAAAGCTAGAAGCACATGAAGGAGCAGAAAAAAGGGCTACATATTTAAGGATCAGACTTTACACATCAAACACATTTCGTCTGTACCAGAGGGAGCAGCAGAGGCCTTGTTGCTGGCAGTGAAGCGATAGAAGGGAGGGTTATCGCAGTGTTGAACTATAGGGTTCACTGGATCAGTCTGCTGCAGCTCAAATAGAAGTTCTTCCATTGTCTGGATGGTATTATTTCTGCTCAAGTAGATTGCCACTTTTTTGATCTGTGGGAATAGAAATATAAATGTCTTGAGGAAAGTTTCTGCCTGAAAGTTATGATAAAAGCATAATACTTTTATTCGGCATTCAGGCTTGTTTTAGGTATTCTCATTGAATACATAAAGCAACTCAGTTGTGATGAAAAAAAGAATAAAAAATTATTACTAGTCCGGCACGTGGTAAGACTGATGTGCTCGGTCACCAAAGAATCTTTAGCATCCGATACACTTCTGTGTGTTAGGTGCATACTCTGCCACTGAGCTTCCTCCCACCAGCCTTCGGGGACCATAGCTTGGAAAGATTGAAGATAGGACTCACCATCTACCTGTCTAAGTAGTATTAATGTTCTTTTTTTGCCGGTTACTTTTTTTTTTTTTAATGGCAACCGAGTTGCTTCATGGGCAATGAAATGGCTTATGGCAAGTTTTACTTTTATGTTCGTCAACTAAGGGTTTATATATATATTTATCACATAAGATCTTTATTTAACCCCTTCGTGACGGGAGACGTACACTGTACGTCCCGCCACAAAGGGACCAAATGACTGTACGTGACGAGTTATTTGCTGCATTAGAGGGCTGGTAACCGCTGAGATAGTATAGAGGCATTCATTAATGAAAGGCTTAACCTTTTTCAGACACCTGATACCTTAATATCAGGTATTTAAAATATAGTGAAAAGTGTAAAAAAATAAAAATAGTGAAAAGTGTAAAGAAAAAAAGTGTAAAAAAATAAAAAAATAAGGGACAAATAAATGAATGTATTTATTGCATTTTTTTAGCTGTGCTGGTTTTGTAAAAAATACTACAAATCAAAACTGGGAAAAACTTGTTTTAAAAAAAAGTTTTTTTCCCCTTTTTATATATATTTTATTTGTCCTAAGTGAGGCGTTAGACACACATATGTGATATAAATATGTAGCCCTATCTGTCCTCTAAAAAACAATATATAATATGTGTGGGTGCACTTTGTAAGAAAGTATATTACTGACGTGGAAGAATCAGACAGCAAAAATGTCAAAAGTGTGTCAGTCATTTACGAACAGAAACTAAAAACAAGCGCAGTCATGAAGGGGTTAAGAACAATGTACTACATGGTGCATTCATAATGCTCAGTTTGTCAGTTTTCTAACAAACATCTAAGCACTAACTGCCAGCTTACTGGCAGCCTGTGTATAACTGAATTAACCAGTGGGTTCTGTCTCTGTCCCAGAGAGGAGGAGAGCTGTTGTGTGACACCTGTGCTAGCAATTGGGCTGTCTGTGTAATATTTCACAAAAGCTGCAGGTATGAGTATGTATGTGTAAACCTGATGCTCACTTGGAGCTCACCATTTGCAGTTTGCATATAGTAAATATGTATTATACACATGCAATATTTTTATATTTACCTGATGAAAGCTATAAATACAAAATGTTTTGTACTAAACAGAAAATACAATATAAATAAAACATATATAAAAAATAAAGTATTTCCCTCCCTAACCTTAAACAGACCCTCAACCAATTTGCTGCTGTATCGGGACTATACGTTAATGACTCCAAATCCATTGCACTAAACATATCGCTGCCAGATCAACTAGTGACGAACTTAAAAGCAAACTTCCCATACCGCTGGTCCTCCACCACGCTCTCATACCTTGGTATTAATCTAACCCCATCGTATCGCACTCTTTATAAGGCTAATTACCCACCCCTAATCGCGAAGCTGATGACTTTACTTAAAACATGGTCCAAATACCAACTGTCGTGGCTGGGCAGAATAGCGGCAATAAAAATGTCCCTTCTACCTAAAATTTTATATTTATTCAGGGTTCTACCAGTGACGGTTCCTACATCAATACTGCGCTCCCTGCAATCCAGGGTCCAACTTCATTTGGAATGGTAAACGCCCAAGAGTCCCCCGAAACACTATTTATGCACCCAAGACCCGGGGTGGCCTGGGTGTTCCCAATTTCGTGAAATACTTCCAAGCAGCACAAATTGGACAATTATCTATCGTACCATGCAAAAACAGAAATCCCCGGCTGGGTCACTTTGGAGAACTCATTCCACCCCACTACTTCAGTAGCTAACCTCCTCTGGCTCCAACCCAAACACAGACCCTCCCCGCTAAACCCTATCACTGCCTTCTCCATACGCCTCTGGGACTCACTGAACAAGCGCCTGAAATTAACTTCACCACATATGCCTCTACTATCTTTTCTGCGTAACCCTGACTTCCCCCCAGCCTTCTCCAACCCAATAAAGTATTTATTTACAACAGCCTTTGAAGAGGCAGGGTGTGAAAATAAAACAAAGGTGTTAAGGATATCAATATTTGTGCATGACGTAAATATTTTTTCATAGTACATGTGTCCATTCTACTTTTAACAAGGGTTTCTCTTAACTGCTATTCTTTCTTGCTTGCAGCCAAGCTATCCTATAATGGGTTCCCACTCGACAAGCATCTCTTTAGTGTTTGGTGTCTCAGTTGTATGTTAACGGTTTCAGCAGCTTGCCAGCTGAGACTGTCAGTCCTTCAATGTCCTTCTATGTTTACTGTGAGGTACACAATTCCTATTACCCATATTTAACCTCAACTCTATACACATATGTGGAGTGACAACATAGACCTGGGATTAGAGGTCAGTTTTCAGCAGGATAGTTTGCTAGATTAATAAAAGGTGATTTCTATTTTTTTGCACCAGGTATAATGCACACTATTGCTGGATTTTATTAATATATGTGTGTGTGAGTTTAAAAGAATTACATTACCTGAGGGGAACAGGTATGGTATAACAACACATAAAATAAATAACAGGCAAGGGAATGTTTGGAATCTTACATAAGGCAGTAGAGTAGTATCGCTGCTGACCCCGCACAGGCTAATTAGAAACTGCAAAGTTATCCGAAGGTTGTTGCTCCATTTTTCATTATTGGCCAATGCATTCCAGGCATTTTCCACCTCCTGGCCAGGCACCTCATCCCCGTACTGCACAATAAAAGTAGAAAAATAAAGTTATAGTAGATGTACTCCTAACAAATGAAGACAATTATGTGTGCAAGACTACTGTTCATTCACAAAGATATCCAGCATATTTTATCTTTATTCATGTCCATGGACACGCTGCAGTTCTCCATCTCCTGACCTTCTAGGACTCCACATTCATCCACAACTAGAACGATGCAAGGGGCACATATCTTCTTCAGAAACAAAAAGCACTGATGTTGAAGTACTGCCTACATAATACTCTAATACAGATTTAATTGGCACAGAATATTATAGTATTTAATTTGTTTTAGAATTCATAGAGGGACATGGTAATACATGAAATAAAATGTTGCTTCTGCCCTATGAGTTATATTCTGGGGTATACACTGTATATATATATATTATAAT